CAATCTCCTCCTGTACCAGTCAGATCTGATTTCACGGTACACTCACACAAAAATAATAAAAATTTAAAAAAAAAGAAGCCTAGATCCTTTTAATATTTTTCGGTGTAGCCTAGTCTTTCTGATTACTTGTTATGCATCTGAGATCTGAACAATGAATAAGGATGACAGAAATAGAATTGATGCTTTTGAGCTGTGGTGTTGGAGAACACTGAACATCCCATGGATGGCTAAGAGAATGAACAGATATGTCTTTGAGAGAGTGCAGCCAGAGTGCTCTTTGGAGGCAAGAATGATGAGGCTTCACCTCACATGCTTTGGTGTGTTGATAGGAGGGACCATTCCTTGGAAAAGAACATGATGCCAGGAAGGGTAGAGGGTCGGCAAAGGAGAGGAAGACCCTCAACCAGGTGGATTGATGTGGTGACTGCTGCAATAGGCTCTTAGGTGTCAGGAAGTGTGAGGAAGGTGCAGGATAGAACAGAGTTCAGACCTTTTGTTCATTGAGTTGCTCTGAATCGTACTCCACTTGATGGCACCTAACAACAACAACAGCCTACTCTCAGGGACCTGTGGAAGCTTAGTGCATAGGAATTGTGCTAGCAATGCAAAGACACATGATTTGCATCCATCAGCTTCTTTGTGGGAGAAAGACAGGCAATTTCCTCCTGCATGATTTACTGCCTCTGAAAACCCACTGGAGTCAGTTCCAGCAGGACATACACAACAAAGCCTCCACTCGGATAGAATCAGATAGGTGAGACGGCGTTTACCTTGAGCAAAAGGATTCACGTGGAAATCTTGGTTTCTGGCTCAGGAGCATCAGAGCGTGGTCAGTGTGGGTCTATCAGCGGCAGCAACTCTCCGCAGCGAGAGTCCAGTTTCAGGCATGCCAAGTGGTCCGACCGTGTGGGCCCGATGTTCAGGATCGCGATTGGCAGCTTCCTCTCTTGGGCAGTCAGGATGAACCTGTAACCAGAGTACACCTGCCCGTGGAGAGAAAAACAGGCAAGCTCTGTGGATCCAGGCAAAGATGAACCAAAGAGGACCCTTCCCCAGGGTCTTGTAAAACTCTGAAAAAGGCACAGTTCCCACACATACCTGCAAGGATGATCCCACCACCAAGAGGGAGTCGGCTTCCTTGACACGCTTGTACACAAAGTCGACCTTGTCACGGCTCACTGTGTCTCCAAAGAAGACAACATCTGGTTTCAGGGGACCGCCACATTGCTCGCAGGAGGGGACCTGGAAGTCTTGTACCTGCTCTTCTGTGAGAAAGACGTCCCCATCGGGAGCCAGGCCATGGGCCTCTGCATTCCAGGTGGGGTTCAGCACTTCAAAACGCCCCTGCAGCACCTCCCGGGTGGTCTGCTCACCACACGTCAAGCAGAGGACCCTGAATCCAAAGGAGAGGTCACTGAGCAGTGTTCTTGGGAGACGCAGGGCTGCCTATTCCTCCCCAACCGTCATCAGCCCCTCCACTGTCTTATTTTCTGCCCACGTTCGAGATACCTTCTTATAAGTTATAGTGCTACAGTAACAGAAATAGCACAAGCAGGTGGCGTTCTTTTTTAATTTTTTTCTTTTCTTTTTTTCTCTTGTGTGTACTGTCAAATCGGACTCGACTGGCCCAGGAAGAGACTGCCCTTCCTTCTCCAGTGGAGCATCTGGTGGATTTGAACTGCGTACCTTCAGGATTGCAGCGTAGCTTCTTGCCACTAGGGCACCAGAGCTCCCTATAAATGGGTGGTTTTAATGAGCACACATTTATTCTCTGACCTAACTTTTGGAGGGTTGAAGGCTAAACTTGGGGTGCTGGCTCTAGGGACAGACTCTATTTTTGGCTTCTTCACGTGGTCTGTATTTCCCCATCCATTTGTGCTTGCTTCTTAACTGCCTAATCTGTTCTTTTTTTATCTCAGAGACAGTTGGCTTAGGACCTATACAACACAGTCCTAAAATGCGATTATATCCTCTGGTGTGGGGGCTTAGCATTCGAATTTTCATGATTTAAACGGAAGGAAGGGAGGGAGGGAAGGAGGGAGGGTGGGTGAGAGGAAGGAAGGAAGGAATACCAACCCCCAAACATAAAACCTCCAGTCCACCCCAAGACCATGCACACTCAGCTCTCTCTTAGGGCACTCACTGCTGTGGGTGCCTTCTCAGGAGGAGCTAAGGGAAAGTGCCAATACTTAAGCATGCAAGAGGGACTCAGATATATCTCAGTCAGAAAAGGACAAACAATGCATAGCACCACTGTTATAAAGTAGGTCTGACATAAGCGTTTGGGAGGAGAATAGGATACCAGTGGATAGATAAGGGAGTTCTGGTGGCCTAGTGGCAAGAAGCTGCACTGCAATCCCAGAGGAATGAAGTTCGAATGCACCAGATGCTCTGCTGGAGAAGGAGGGACAATCTCCTCCCTGTACCAGTCAGATCTGATTTAACGGTACACACTCACAAAATTTAAAAAGAAGAGAGTGGATAGATAATGAACATTGAACTGGAACAGATGAAGCATTATATGTATGACAACAGCCCAGGATAAGAGTTACATTGCGAAGAGGACTGGGGGAAGGAAGGAGGTAATGTGTAACAATGAATGAATATTTTTTTTTCTAAAAAAAAAGTTATTGGTGGAGGGGCAAAGGAGGGAGAATGTGCAACAATGAAAATCTAACTTTTCTGTAAATTTTTGTTAAAATCACAATTCAAATAAAAAAATCACTAAAAAGGAGGGCCCTGATATACAAATAAAAACATGTTTATACGAAAAATTAAAAAAGGAGGGCCCTTCAGCGAGTAAGAGCTGGTATGTGGTGGGTATTTACCTCAGCTTCCTCGGCTCTCAGTGTGGCAGTTCTGAAGGAGGCTCTAGACAGTTCCTCAGAGGACCCCTCGCAGGACTGAGCCCCAGCTGCGCAAAGCAGTTATTTGTTCATGAACATATTTTTTACTGGCTGCCTCCCCTTCCCCAACCTGACTTCTCACGCAACTTGCTGAGATCAGCTCCAAAATAAACAACTTGCTTCCAAACCCTTCTTTCTCAGGGTCTAAAACAACTGCACCTCAGGTGGTACCAGTCAGATCTGATTTGACCGTACACACATAAAAAATAATAAACTAAAAAAAAAGGAAAGAAGCCTGTTGGATGGTCAGCTATGGGTTGGTTTCAACTGGATGGCACACAACAACAATGAGGAGATTAACTAGAAGACGATGTTAACTCACAGCTCAAGGGGTCTAGGACACATAGTTTTATAGGGTCATTCATGTAAAAATTGCTTGGTAAGACAACAGGTTTTGGATGGAAGACCGTGGTGAATGTGACCCCGCCAGGGCCTGCCACCCTGCCCTGTCAGCGCGCAAGTGTCACATGTCACCCGCACCTGTGCATGCATCCGTGGAGCTCGGTCAGGCGCCGACTCCCCGCTTTGGTGTGCAGGGCGTCCACGTTCTGCGTCACCAGCCAGGACAGCTTTCCCAGTCTCTCCCAGTGGCTGAGCGCCCAGTGCGCCGGGTTGGGCTGGTGTGAGGAGAAGCGGGGCCAGCCCACGAAGTTTCTAGCCCAGTACCGCTGGCGGACGGGCGCACTCCGCACGAAGTCCAGGTGCTGGATGGGCCTGCGGTCAGTGCGGGCGTACAGTCCCACCCCTTCCGACCGGTAGTCCGGGATCCCCGACTCCGTGGAGATGCCAGCCCCGGTCACGACCAGGACCCTCCTGGAAAGGGTGATGAAGCGCTGCAGCTCTTTCACCTTCTCGGGATCCACAGGAGGACTCGGAGGCACGAATAGCCCCACCGATCCATGGGCGCACCGACGGCTGAGGCTGGGGGGCCAGCGGCCCGGCACAGATCTGACAGTCAACCCAAAGCTCATCCCCATCCTAGGATGAGAAAGAAATTTCAAATGAGAAACTGGGTTTACAAAGCAAACGCAAACTTGGCTGTGTATATATGCTCAGCAGCAACAATTAAAAAAGACACCCTTAACTGATAAACTCAAAGAGCCCTGTTGATAGAGGGAATATCCTTCAGCCATCAAAAGGAATGAAGGATTAAAAGAAATGAATATTAAGGGAGCTCTCTCTGGTGGCTTAGTGGCAAGAAGCTGCACTGCAATCCCAGAGGTGCGAGGTTCAAATCCACCAGATGCTCTGCTGGAGAAGGAGGGACAATCTCCTCCTGTACCAGTCAAATCCGATTTAACGGTAAACACACACACACACACTAATAAAATAAAATTTTAAAAGAAAATATAAAATCCTTGGGAAAAAAAGGTATGAATATTAAAAACATCGGGCTAAATTAAATTAGTATAAAAAGAAGTTGTACAAGGAAAAGAAACCAAACATGGCTTGTCAACATGACTAATTTAGAAATACATCCAATCTATTTATCAACCAAATACGTCAAGCCATTGAGCCTCTTAAAAAGTCATATGCTAGGGAGCTCTGGTGGCCTAGTTGCAGGAAGCTGCACTGCAATCCGAGAGATATGTGGTTTGAATCCACCGGATGCTCTGCTAGAGAAGGAGGGGCAATCTCCTCCTGTACCAGTCAGATCTGATTTGACGGCACACACACACAAAATAATAAAATAAAATAAAAAAGGTCATATGCTATATGATTCCTTTTATAGGAAACATCCAGATTAACCAAATCCATAGAGGCAGTCAAGATTACTGTCTGTCTAGGGCTGGGAGAGGCACTGTAGGGTGAAGATGAATAAATAGGTTTCCTCTTTAAAGTGGTGCAAAAAAAATCACCTGACAGAGTCAATCTCCTTCCCACACTTTTTCCTTTGTTACATCAAGCAATCTTGTGAAATGTGGAGGGGTTGAGCTGGAAAAGGACCTGGTAATTCAAGGGTGCACCGAATGAACACTAGGACTCCAGGCTTATTAAAAAAATAAACCTACTGCAGTCAATTCTGTTCTGACTCATAGTCACCCTCCATCAGGTTTCATACCTTTCAAACCTTTACTGCGAGGAGCTGGAGGGAGAATGGCTTGTGGACTTGAATCATGGACCTTTTGGTTAACACTTTACACCTAACACCACCAGTTGTTGTTAGATGGCCTCCTCATTATCTCTAATACACTCAAGCCCTTTGATACACTCTGTGTCAATCTATTTTGCTGAGGGTTTTTCTCTCTTTTGATGACCTTTCCAAGTATGATGCCTTTTTCCAAGGACTGGCCCCTCCAAGCATTTATGGACCTAAAAAAAACAGCCTTGTTGGGAATCCTGAACTTACTCCCTTCTGTCACTACTGCCTTCACACCATCCCTACCAGTTTGACACCAAAAAATAAAGAAAACATTCCTGCCACAGTTAATGTCAGGGAAATTTATATATATTTAACAATCAGCTCTCACAGTTACAAACTGTCTCCAGCACAGCTGAACCAGGTACCATTTGGCTCTGTGTGTGTGTGTGTGTGTGTGTGTGTGTGTGTGTATTTGACACAATGAAAGTGCTCAAAAAATCAAAAGATGTGTTGCACTGGGGAAATCTGCTGTTAAGGACTTCTCCAAAGTGCTAAAGAGCAATGAGGGCGGTTTAAAGACTGAGGTGCACCTGATCAAAGCCATTGTATTTTCAGTTGTTTCTTACTCATCTGCAAGTTTAACAATGAATAAGGAAAACTGAAGACGAATCCATGTCTCTTTGAATTGTGGTGTTGGTGGATAGTATTGAATGTATCACAGATTGTCAGTTGAACAAATGAATTGCTCTTGGAGAAAGTGCAACCAGTGTGCTCCTTAGAGGAAAGGGTGGTGAAACTTCATTTCTTACACTTTGGGCATATTGTCTAGGGCAGTTCTTGGAAAGAATCATGGTGGGAAAGATAGAAGGGTCAGTGAATGACAGGAAGACCCTCAACAAGATGGACTGACACAGTGACTGTACCCATGAGTTTGAGCATGGTTGACGGAAAGCAGGATAGGACAAGGTTCCGATCTGTTCACAAGGTCCCTGTGAGTCCTTGTAGACTCGGCACCTAACAAGGTTTCATAAAGCCCCGAATAAGCAAAGCACTCCTTAAGAATAGAAGAACGGTAGGAGGTATCTCACTCCCTGATTTCAAATCCTACTACACTGCCGTAG